GCAGTTGCTTCAATGCATTTAGGGGTGTGTTCCTGGTCAAGACAATCTCCTGAACTCCAAACTGAATGTCAGAATGGGAAAGAAAGGTGATTTAAGCAATTTTGAGCGTGGCATGGTTGTTGGTGCCAGACGGGCCGGTCTGAGTATTTCACAATCTGCTCAGTTACTGGGATTTTCACGCACAACCATTTCTAGGGTTTACAAAGAATGGTGTGAAAAGGGAAAAACATCCAGTATGCGGCAGTCCTGTGGGCGAAAATGCCTTGTTGATGCTAGAGGTCAGAGGAGAATGGGCCGACTGATTCAAGCTGATAGAAGAGCAACTTTGACTGAAATAACCACTCGTTACAACCGAGGTATGCAGCAAAGCATTTGTGAAGCCACAACACGCACAACCTTGAGGTGGATGGGCTACAACAGCAGAAGACCCCACCGGGTACCACTCATCTCCACTACAAATAGGAAAAAGAGGCTACAATTTGCAAGAGCTCACCAAAATTGGACAGTTGAAGACTGGAAAAATGTTGCCTGGACTGATGAGTCTCGATTTCTGTTGAGACATTCAGATGGTAGAGTCAGATTTTGGCGTAAACAGAATGAGAACATGGATCCATCATGCCTTGTTACCACTGTGCAGGCTGGTGGTGGTGGTGTAATGGTGTGGGGGATGTTTTCTTGGCACACTTTAGGCCCCTTAGTGCCAATTGGGCATCGTTTAAATGCCACGGCCTACCTGAGCATTGTTTCTGACCATGTCCATCCCTTTATGGCCACCATGTACCCATCCTCTGATGGCTGCTTCCAGCAGGATAATGCACCATGTCACAAAGCTCGAATCATTTCAAATTGGTTTCTTGAACATGACAATGAGTTCACTGTACTAAAATGGCCCCCACAGTCACCAGATCTCAACCCAATAGAGCATCTTTGGGATGTGGTGGAACGGGACCTTCGTGCCCTGGATGTGCATCCCACAAATCTCCATCAACTGCAAGATGCCATCCTATCAATATGGGGCAACATTTCTAAAGAATGCTTTCAGCACCTTATTGAATCAATGCCACATAGAATTAAGGCAGTTCTGAAGGCGAAAGGGGGTCAAACACAGTATTAGTATGGTGTTCCTAATAATCCTTTAGGTGAGTGTATATACACATACTGGAAGAATCAGGGTTTTTGAACAAATCTCTTGAATGAATGATTCAATGAGAAATACACTTGTCGCCACTTACTGGTGTAACAATGCAATTGATACATTTATTTTACTGTTCATACATGACAACTGCATCGGCAGTTGTGATCGTATCTGACAAAGGTTTAACAGGCAGAGCCAATAAGATCATGTGGGTGTTTAAATCGAGAGTCGTGCAGTTCTAATAAATATATATAGGATTTTCTAAATAGGACAATAGGAAATTCCTAATGTGAATTATAATAATTTAATATTAAATATCCATTTATAATTTCCTTTGATGCTTTAAAAATAATGTGGAAAAAAAATATTAAATCCTACACCACATATTTTTTGGGTGATTTGGGGTATTGCCTGGCATTTTCACTTGATGTTCCCTCATCTCATTGCTCTTGATATCTGTCACAGTTCAACTAATAAATCTTAATGAACTAACTGTGTTTGCTGAGAGTGTTTAATAAATGTGGCAAGCATCTGGTTCCCGACTAGCGCTTCCTTCCAAACGTCTGAGAGCTGAAGTGAAGATACAGACACTAGAGTGGTTTATTCATCCTCTGCCCTATTATGTTCACTGCCAAGTGCTCTACGTGTGGTGCTGTGAGTGTGTTTGGCCCAGATTAGCAGCAGAGGCCATGTGTTGAGACGGGCCCCGGAGGGACAGCATGCATCTGGTGTTTGGTACTCTGTGGGCTACAGCGAGAGGCAAGAGATGGAGAGACAAACTTGCACACACACTGCCATATCCCTCTATCAAAAGCCTCAAGAACCAGCCATGTTCACCATGTAAACGTTACCCATTATATTCCATAATCTGATATGTTTCTGAGTAAAACAGAATATTGAACGAGAAACACCGAAGGACAGAACTTGATTTTATCCATGAGGAGTTGACTGGAAGGTAATTGTAAAATAAGAAAGAGAGCAGCTGAATTTTTCTCTATTTTGATTAAGACAAAAAATTTTTTTCTTTATAATAATATGCACAGACAAATTGTTTAATGAGACCAGGACCAAAATAACACGAGCTAAGAAAGTAAATAGAGTAACTTTTGACTTCATGATAACCTGTAATCATAATTGAGTTTATATTTGCTTCCCTAATAAATGTCCTAGTAAGTAAGTACACAATTCTTAAGTATGAATTATGTTTATTTTTATATTGTATGTATGCATCCATGTATATGTGTAATATACCTAAACCTTTAACAATTTGTTTTTAATTATAAGAAAGAGTGTTTTCCTTTGAAAACACCACTACTATTCATAGCCATTTTTAGTGCTGAATACTCAATTTCAATCATAAATTCGTTACATTACGGAGATTAAATGTGCTGCGGATGGATTGGAATACTAGTTTATACTGCAGAATATTCAGTACACTACCTACCAATATACTAAAACAAACCAAATAGAAGAACTGAGGATATATTATGGAAGGATAAATGTTCACAAAAACAGCATGTAGTTATTGTCCACAGAGGTTTTTATGAGAAAGACATCCTCATTCAACCAGCCCCATTGATTTTCATTTTACCACTGCTTTATTTGCAGCTTTTAATGCTGTTGTGTTGATGTACTAAAATTAGCTGCTGTCGTCAATGGGAGGAAGAATGAGCCAGGGGGGCATTTATCACTCTCAGCCAAAAACTCTCCCAGCAGTCTGATATCTGTGGACCTGGGAAAGCACTGAGGGGCTCAAAAGATGAAATAAGGGTGAGTATTAGTAATGGAATAAACCAAAAAGTGGCGTCAAGAAAAGGATTTTTTAATAAAGCCTTGCACATAAATCATGTTTAAGTAATTTATATTTTGTAATAATTTCGTTATTCAGTAAATACAGCTCTGTCGATGACTTTTCCCCCAATGTTTGTTCTCTGTCACACAAACCTGGCAGCTACGCCACTAACCGCTGGAAATCTCATGTTGTTTTAGATCAGATTTTTCACTATAACATCTCTCGGTTTGGCACATTCCTCAGCTGCACGGAGGACTCTATCTGTCCCGTCGAGTTTATGGAAACTGACGATGCCTAAAAACATGACAAAGAGCTATAAAAACAAGATGACTAAAAGATTCAGACAGAAAAAAGGGACAAATTCACGCTCAGGTTGAGGATTATGGCTGAACAGATTCTATATGATACTAACTATAAACTTATTGTAAAACAATGATAAATGAGTCAGTAGAAAGCCATTGAAGGCGTTTACACCTGCTACTAACGTCAGGTCAAGACTCACATTCAACAGATAGTACAAGATCACGGGCCAGTTGCATAAACACAGCAACTGTGTCTTAGTATGATCATCAACTAGCAGTTGATACAGTTTTGGTATCAAATAAGACCAATCTACGCTTTTAATTAGCTGACTTCAAGTTACGAACAGTCTTAAAGAAAAAAAATATTGATGACTAACTTGTATAACTAGTCTTAGCAGTTTATGCAACAGGCAGGACTAGACCCTCAAAGACCCAGACTGGCTTGACTAAAATAACAATGAGCAATCCACTCAAAATGTTTCCACTCAAACTCAAACTCAAAAAAAAAAAAAAAAAAAAGAATATATATATATATATATATATATATATATATATATATATATATATATATATATATATATATATATATATATATATATATATATATATATAATATTAAGTGACACTGTGCAGCGAGTCACAAAATCAAAGACCCTCCAGTCAATGAAATCTGATCGTAAATCTCATAGGCAGGGCAAATTCAATCAAATCATTTTGCTGGTGATGTAAAATTAAGCAACATGGGTTTTAATTGTATTTGCAAAAAAATGTATTTGTTCATTAAGTTTTCTAAAGAGCAAGTCATTAAACTAGTTTCATGACAAGGAAAGGTGATGAAACTAGTTTAATGACTTGCTCTTTAGAAAACTTAATGAGCAAATACATTTTTTTAATGTACATCTATAATAATTATCTATAATAATAAAATATAACTCTGGAGTGCTTTTAAAGGAAATGCACAAATATATATTTGAATAATAATAATCACTTTTAAGTCCTTTTAGAGGAAATATTAATAATAATCACTTTTAAGTCCTTTTAGAGGAAATATTAATTGCACAAATATTATCATCATTATTATTACTGAAATGTATAATTATGCATTTCCTCTAAACGCATCTAAAAGAGTGATATATTATTATTGAAATGTATAATATAACCTTTAGAGTAAATGCAAAAATATAATTTTTACTACTACTCTTAAGTCCTTTTTTGAGTAAATGCACAAATATAAATTTTGAATATTATCAAAAAGCTGTGAAATAATTAGGTATTATTTTAGCTATGATAGGAGGAGATAGGAGTCGCCTAATGTCTGTGTGTTAGTGCGAGGAGACACGTTACCTTAATAAACAAACATTAAATATATTAAAGCTGCAAGGCACTCCATAAAACACAAACTCAGCATAAATAAAGCTCCTCATCACAGCATGTCACTGCATGTTTCTGTGCAAGAAACAAACTGCAACCGCTGGAAAATTAGATGTTTCAACATGAATACACAACACTGCAACAAATCACCAATCCCTTTTGTGAGCCGCCAAATCGTTCCGTTTATGCCGGAGAGATTGTGGACTATAAAACAGTGAGAGGTGGCTGCCAGGTCTGAACATGAGAAGCAACAGCCAGAGATAATTACAGCATTACGCTCTCCTCTGGAACCGGAATTACATCCAAACACAATGCCTTTCTTTCTTTACAGGAGAGACTCGAACATATTTTCCACTGTAAGCATTTCACTTGAAGCAGGCAGCAACACAAACATTCTCACCGTTGTACGTCACTCTTGGTTTTGTCAAGCACATGACCAGATGAAGGTCCATTTCATCTGAAGAGATAAACTTGGAGCAGACGGGGCACTTGAAACCTGTGGAGAAAAATAAAGAGAAATAATATGAGTTTAGGACTGCAATGAAAAATCAATAATGGACTGTTCACACACAGAATGCATTTTTGCATTTAAAACTGAGACACGCAGAGAGAGAGAGAGAGAGAGAGAGAGAGAGAGAGAGAGAGAGAGAGAGAGAGAGAGAGAGAGAGAGAGAGAGAGAGAGAGAGAGAGAGAGAGAGAGAGAGAGAGAGAGAGAGAGAAAAGGTGCGTTTAAAAAAAGTTCAACTTGACACAGTCTTCTAAACACATGGTGCTTATGTGCAAGATGCTGTAAAGATGTGAGTGGAACAGAGACATCCATGTAGTGCATGTTTACATAGAAAACCAATGGAAAAACAGCACAGTGGAATTCAGAAACACATTCTATGTGAACAGAACCTAACAATCTTAGTTTTGAGATAGGTTGTAGTGCCAAAGACCTTTGAGTTTCTGTTTATCTGACGATACTTTTCTCAAATGAAAGGGTGTAAGATGGCAGATGCTGAAAACACCATGAAAACGGAGTCTTAGACAAGCAGAACAAGCAGATTTCATATTTCAACAGCAGTCTTTTGTGTGCTTTAATATAAGACACTAGTCCATAAGGCAATTTGTTTAAGTCTACAGCCCTATTCTTTTTATAAAATTCCGTGATTTTCAGAGTTCTGTAAATTTCATTTTTAGGACTGGATTCCACAACGAGATGATGATAATAGGGATGCACGATGATATCGGGACAACATCGGTATCGACCGATAAAAGCTTAAAATGACCGGCATCGGCCGATATGAATATTTCTGCCGATGAGCCTTGCCGATAGGGTGGCGTGTTTCCTATGCGCACGTGACGACCGTGAACGAAGCATGAGCGCCAGCAACTTAAACTTCCAACTAGGGGTGTGCGTCTCACGCGGTTTTTGATCGTGGACGATTAAAATGTCTCCACGATCTGCTATTGAAGAAAAAACATAGTATAGTGCATTCTATCAGTTCAATTCTGGCGCCTTCATCTCAACATACTGTACAACACGACGTACATTCACATCACATCACATGTAAACGCAGAGGTAGAGTTACACTCACGGGACACTGCAATTCACAAAAGTTTATTATTTGCATGTGCGTCAAAGTCTTGCTAGTTAAACATGTCATTCACGTGCTGATGCGCTGTTCTAACATGCGCTTTTCTGAGCGCGTACACCCGACGCTCACAGGAACTAAAAGCCTGTCACACAGCGCCTGCATACTGGACTCGAGTCTTATTGCGCTGATACGGTCAAATACACACAAGGTTTACATAAACAAAGTTGGTTATGTCTAAAGTGAAAGCAAACAGAGAAAATCTGCTTGTCAAATGCGTGTATATTAGACGCGTCGCGTGCAGTTCTTAAAGAGACAGTAATAATATGCTGCCGCTTGGCCTTAAAGAGATACTGCACCCAGAAATAAAAATTCTGTCATTATTTACTCTCTAATGTTGTTACAAACCTGTATTAATTTCTTTCTTGTGCTTAAATATACTATGGAAGTCACTGAAGTACAGCAACTGTTTGGTTAGCCACATTCTTCCAAATAACTTTTATTTTCAACAGAAGAAAGAAACTTGAGAGAGTAAATGATGACAATTAAAATTTTTGGGAGAACTATCCCTTTAATGTTAATAAAACAACAAAACACAGGGGAAATCACTCACTGCTCTTGACTGAGAACTTTAATAGAAGCTTTAATAAGCTTTTTTTGCACTTAAAAAAAACAAAACAAATATATCAGTATCGGCAAAATTAGTTTGAAAATATCGGCATATCGAATATCGGCCAAAATCCAATATCGTGCATCCCTAGATGATAATCAGCTAACCAACCAGAAAATGTTTTAAAGGGCTCTAAAAGACAAGGCTGGGCACGAGACAGCAAGCGAGACGCACAATAAAGAGGGTTTGTCTGGCGTGGAGTGAGTCGGGTCGTCTCAGTGTGGGCAGCTGAAACACACAGGCTAAATACAGCTGAACTATGACAATATGAGACATTCTCTGAGTCTGGATGAACACGCTCAATGATATGATTCACTGGCAGCTGTGCCGAGAAGAGGTCTGAGGGCGTCGTGACACCACTGACCCGTGACGACCTTGTGACAATTTACAGTCACTTGAATGTGACATGCATTGCGGGTGTTCTGAATAAATGTGCTATTAAAGAAGAGGAGACACAAATGACAGCTTGACATCTTTCACAGTCAAGAGGAGACAGATATACGAAGGCATACATTTCTTTTTACTGAACTGCTAAATGAGAACCTTTCAGAATTAAAGATATTATTACTGCAATATTTTTCTGGAAAGCTGATTCAAAACAATGTCCATTGTGAAAAGTTCTATATAACTAAAATTGAGCTACATGGATAATAATTTAACTAGCCTAATTCAGAAAAATATTGAATATCTGTTGTGTTTTACAGGGACTTCAACTTCAGGTATCTTATACATTAGAGCAGGGATTCCCCCAAAAAGATCAGCCAAACACCTTATAAGTAAAATATTTACATGAAGTACCCAATGAGATTTTAAAGTTAATATTTTAATAATTTAATGACACACCAATAATAATTTATATTATTCATAATAACAGTAATAATAATAATAATATGAATAATATGAATACTACTACTAATAATAATTATTATTTAAATTTAATGTCAAATTAAAAAGTTGGGCTGCACAAATAAAATAAATCTGAAATCTTTTTTATAATTATAATAATAATAATTGTTATTATTATCATCACTATTACTAAACTATTATTATTATTATTATTACTACTACTACTATTTTATTTTGATTAATTGTGCAGCCTCATTTTTATTTTACTAAATAGGTTGTTTTCATATGACGTCACGCCACTGCGCGAAATGCAAATGGAGGGCAGGAAGTGATTTGCTGTATTTAGAAAGCACTATAACAAACTCAAAATGCCTATGTTTTGCGTCGTTTATGGTTACTTAAATCGATCAAACTACGATGAGTTTTTATCGTGTACCAAAAGTTGTTGTTCATAAGGGGGGAAAATGCAAGAAATTGACCGAAAAACTCCGGAAAAACGGCTTGCAAACCTACGTCTGCGGTCGGGAGGAGCCGAATGGGAAAATACCCGTGTGTGCAGTGATCACTTCGTCAAAGGTGAGTTAATACAACTTAAGTGGCTATGTTTGTGTAACGTGTAACGTTTCCGAACTTTGTAAAGTCAAAGTATGTCTGTAAGACGAGGTAGTTGCTGATATCTACCGCCTCGATGGCAGGAAAATCTTTAAATTCAGTTGAAAAATCGCTCCTCTTCATAACGTAAGGATCACGTCCAACATATGTTTGATTTTTTGTTTATTTCTTTCTCTTGTAATAGCGTGTAAAGTAGTACAGTACGGACTTTCCTCCATCTCGTCCATTGCGCTCTTCACTCCCTGCCCTCCATCTGAATTTCGCGCGTCATCATAATCACGTGACTGAAACCCAGCTATTTAAATTATTTTTATTAGGGCCCAAGCCCAAAGGGCGAAGGCCCTATTGTTTTCCTTAGGATTATTTATTATTCTTCTTATTATTTTTCTGCTACCTTTTGGACACTTTTGGAGGCCTTAACATGCTCAAAAACTCCTGAAACTTTGCACACATGTCAGAACCCGCGGCCATCAGGGCCGGGCTGAAGATGGTACCCGGGCGTGGCAGGGGGGCTCGACAGCGCCCCCTGGAACGGGGTCCGAAAACATGGTCCATAAATCAAACACGCTTGCATGTAATAATATGAAACTCGGTACACATGTAGATCTCCTCGTTTCATATATACTTCACACTCTTACTTTTTACCCCAGCCCAACAGGAAGTCGGCTATTTAGGGTTGTTGGTAAAACACACGCAATGGAATGTGAAATACTCCTCCTAGAGAATTCAAACAAACGGCACGAAACTCGGTCAGCATGAAGTCAAGACATTGAGGATGAAAGTTTGCGAGGGGATTTTTGATATCTCGAACGGTTTGGCCGTGGCGAGGAAACAAAATTATGGCGAGAAACGTGAAACAGGAAGTGTGTTATAACTACTGCATACATTAACTAATCTTGATGAAACTTCAGCAGTGTGTTCGTTGTAAGAGCCCGATCACATGGATGTGACTATTGTGAGTCAAAGTTATAGCGCCACCAACTGGCAGCAGGAAGTGTGTCACTTCCTAAATGCTTTGAAATCACCCTCTTATTTTTACCCGATTTGCTTCAAACTTTATGTGTATAATGTAAACACACGGCAGATGTAGACCTGTGAAAGGATTATTGATATCTTAGATACTGTTGCCGTGGCAACACATCAAACTTTAATATTCTTGTTTGATGCTTTTGAGACTCTTAGCATGCTTGAAATTGCATGAAACTCGACAGACACAGGTATGCATATGGTTCAGATCAAGCCGGACAACTTTCTAATTAACTGTCATTAGCTCAGACCAAGAGGAAGTCAGATATTTTGGTTTGAATGTGGATGTTTCTGAGAATTTTCTCTCCCTCTCCCTCTGACAGAGAGAATGCACCCTGCCATTCGTGTGTGTCTGTGTGGGGAGGGGGGGGAGGGGCTCTTTTAGTTTAAACACAAAATTATACATAGGGCCATACTGCCCTCTTGTGTCCAAAATTATATTTATATATACATTATACATATATTTGGTATGTGACTGAGGACCGAGAGCTTTTAAATACGGGACATTGATAATGGCCACGTGCAGAGCGCTCGAGGGAATTCCTATGGAAGTTCTGCTCGCTCATCGCCGTGGACGCGCACCGTTATGAATGCCCGTGCAGCCGTTAGTTTCATTTTAAAATTAGCGCCTTTTCTGGGGCCGATTGCTTGAATTGTGAGTTCAATAGCCTATTATTCTTCATGGAAACCACAACAACAAAAGAGTATAAAAGTTTGGTGTGAACGCAGCATAATGAACAAGCTGCGATCTCAAGATTGCAATG